ACCTTTACCCATTAGAGTATAGGCGTTTTAGAGGTAAACTTCTAGTGGTTTACAGTATCCTCAACACTTCTGGACATCCTCTTAAACACCTAATTAAGCTTAGCCCCTGTCGAATTCGCACGGTAATGCCTTGACTACTGCGAGGAATTGTGCACGTGTGTCGTTCACGCCGTGCTTGTAGAAGTTGGCTTCTGCGTAGCAAAACCAGGCTTCGACGTTGTCTGGCCAGAAGGGCATTAGTTGAGACGAAGGTAGAGACATAGTCTTTAATTTAAGTACCTTGGGTATCTGTTCCATCATGATGTAATACCAAGTACGAGAGTGAACGAGTGAGAAATTTATATCCAAAAAACACGGAAAAAAGTACCAAAATTTATAAAAAGTAAAGTAAAGCAATGGTAATATAAAGTCCCAAAATGGAACAGACTCACAGTTTGCGATTCGGTAAACTAGATCACGTCAGGCTCCCCAATCAAGATGCCACAGGTATTCGGAGTTTGACAAAGCTTTAACCAGTAACACCTTCTAATATGAAGCGTACCCACCAAGTGGAATCAAAAGACAGAAGCGAGGAGGTTCGAAGATATATTTGATAGGCTGTCAATATATCGAGTATCGTCTGATCTTATCTGGCTAGCGATTGCAGTAGATGTTGAGCACGGCGTTCCCACACATGGTCTGGTGCGCATGCATGACCGAGAACCTTCAGCTAGTTGAGCCCGCTAAAACTGTGGTCAACATCCAATGTCGAAAACTGACAGAGGTATTTATTTTGGGGATTTATTTATCGCTACACTATCATTAGTAAAATGATGAACCCTGACCTAAAATACAACTTCAGTGTATCATATATCTAGATTTTTGAAGTTCATCCATATAGTGATGACGTTTTCTACAGAATGCATCCTAAATGATTTTCGGAATCATGTGAAAGGTCTACAATTTCGCCTTAGCCGATAAATGGTTATGTTTCATAGCTGTCATCAAGTTACATAACATTGTTCCACCGTCAAGGTCGTGTGGGCTGATTTGACCCTGAACTAGCGCGGCAAAGTTTGGAAGGCAGTAAACTTTTCGTCGATCCCGCGGATGGTGTGCAGTAATTGGGTTTTTACTGGTCCTTGAAATTAATAAGGGTTCAGCTGGGATGCGTAGTCGTAATTAGTTCCTGCGGTTTATTCTCTATAGGTACCAATATCAAGGTTGAACTTGAGATTTATATATTTGAAACTATAACCAATCTCCCTATTTTGGGGGAAATTTCTTCCGTTTTAGCTAAGCCACTATGAAAGACTTTGATGAAGTGGCACAAAGCCACGAAATTTCCCCAGATTTATGGACAACCCAAAAACATTGGTGAAGACCATTGGACTTCGGGTAGAACCCCAAAATAGGAAGATCGGGTAGTTTCAAATAAATTGAGAATCGTGTATAAGCTTAATAATAGAAATGTTTTTGCGCAGTGTCTATGAGCAGAAAAATTGTTTTTCTGACGTTCCTTGACTTAATGTATGTTACGTCTTCATAGTTAATAAACGAAATTAAATTAATATAGTTCGCATTAAGTCAGGTAATGTCAGAAATACAATTTTTATACTCATTGGGATATAACAAAAATATATTTGTTATTAGCTTTTGGTCTGTCTAGAAAGTATTTCCCCAAATGCCGATAACCTAACTTTAAATCAAAAGTAACAGACCTCTCGAAAGTCACTAAAACATCTGTATTGTTTATTTTTCGTAACAGAAAACAAATCCATGTCTTGTATTCAAAATACGATGTCTGAAATAGTCTAAGTTCTACGGACACTTCAGAAGTGTAACATGTGAATTTCTTTAGGATAAACTAAACGACTACCATTGTCGAGGAAATTCAAAAATAGGGACTCGTTGTTAAGAGCTCAAACGTTTTGCTTGAGTGTAGTAAATGTCAAACGCGTATGCTAGTTTTAAGCAGCTTGTTGGTTTCTTAAGGTTTGTACTCTAATATCAACCCTAAAGCCAACTCTTACAGATCCATACGATCGATGTTCAGTTTATGCGTAAGTCCTCTAGCGAATTATACATACCTACAAATTATTCTTAGTAGTTCCAACGATGTTTTTGCACAAAGGTTCCGAGAGGATATACTAGAGTCCTGTAAAAATGATCGAATAGTGTACAAAGTACTTTTTATTCAATTTAGTAACAATCATATGATGCAATTGAGTGTGCTTCAGACAGAGAAAAAAGTTCACAAAGTTTCATAACATCGTTTCTTATAGTCTTTAATGAATAAGGTTTTCGTGTTATTTGCTTTGACGCTGTCAGTTTTTCGTCACGATACTAAAAATAGGTTTTTATTCTTGTTTCGAAGTGATGAATTTAGCTCGAAATAAGAGTATCCACTGAAATCCCACAATGCTGCCCACCCCTGCTATGTGAATTTCACACAGTGAATCCATGGTTGTTATTTTAATCCTGACAGCCCCAGTAGTATAGTTTAGTTTAACTATCATCAGTAAGTTGGAGGTTTAATTGTACTCTTTCAAATAAGTTCATTGGCGAAGTCGTTAGTTTCCTGTTGATGTGATATCAATAACTTTGTGGGAAAGGAACTGCATAACACGTGTCAAACAAACGTTATACCACATTCTTCTGTCCCAGGTTTGCCACCTCTTGGTCTAAGCACTTGGAATACTTGTTGAATCTACAGAATATACCTCCAGGAAGTATTGTTTGAAGTAGAGTGGACAGTTTTTATGCTGCTAGATAAGGTCATTTTAAAGCTCTGGTTTTTGTCAATGGCTCCTTGTTGCGATTCGATGTCATGAACAGGAGATAACCTGCTACGCAATGGTGGAGCAATGGATTAGTGGCCAATCGGTATTTAGGATTGAGTACCATTTAACCCACTTATACATTAAGTGTGGCTCAGAGCTAACTACGCGGATCAGGATTTCGTAAATGAGCAATACTAAACGTAGTGGCAGGCGGTCAGCAATACCAATATTTATGATATCAACATATAGCGTGTAGCAACTAAGTTATGCTTCGAATTAGGCACACCGATTCGCAGTGTTATTTGTATAGTTTCAGTGGTTTTTGACCTACCGCTACCTTCAGTAAATTATTACACTGTGTGGTTAAACATTGTCTTTGTAGCCCTTAGGTAGGCGCAAAGCCTGTACTGTGGATCTTTTAGCGCTGTATCATCTTGGTCATTTTATTTGTACGAATATCTTATTATGGAAATTATTCATAAATAGAATTTGTAGTTGTATTGTTTCTGATCTACCTAAATTGTCCCATCAAGTTCTTGCAAATCTAACTTTTATTTTATTTCAACACATAAATATTGGTACAAGTGGGCACCAAATATATATGCCCCACACAAAACAATGGGAATTTAGAGAAGGGAAAAAAAGAAAGGAGGGTAAGGAGCGTAAAAAAAGAACAACGGACAGATTAGTGTAAGGTAGTGTAATAGTAATAATAATGGGGGAAACGAAAAGATACAATCAGAAGAAATCTTTCAGTTAAGCAAGAAATAACCACTTTTATGAAGAAAGTTAAGGGTTACAGCAGGATCACCACTGGCTTCTATTCTGAGCCATATCTAATAACGTTTCTAGCCACTGCGTTACACTATCTCTCGGACCCTAGCCAGGGAGTCGTGAAGGACCAACAGAAGCCAGTCTTTTGCAGCTTTCTTTCATACCACGATACCATGTCATACACTGACCACCTCTCTGCTTTTTCCAACCAGTCCCAGCGTCGGCAAATAATGCACGACGTGGAATTCTCTGGGACGACATTCGTAGAACATGTCCAAGCCACCGAAGTCGGTGTTTCAAGATGGTGACACCAATTGGATTATCGTCTCTGTGCCCGAACACACGATGCCGAACCTCTGCATTACTAACATGGTGTTACCACTGGATGCCAGCAATCCTTCGGAGACAACGATGATCGAACACAGAGAGTCGTCTAACGTCCTCAGCTCGGAGAGGCCAGGTTTCACAAGCATAGAGCAAAACTGCTCTCTACAACTCGTGAGTGAGAAAATTGTATGCTACCACCGAATATAAATACTGAAGCATTTTTTCTGAAACCACGTGCAAATCTAAGTACCTGTCGGCAGCACAACAGTAAAAGTTAGTTTTAGAACATATATTCTTAGTTTGACGCATATCTGATATTAAGATTTTCGTGTAGCCGCTGGTAGAATTTGTGTTCTGTGGTATATTCCTCTGGCATCACAAGAATAGATTCGTCGACACCGTGAAACGTTCATGTATCCTATCAACTTTGCTTATCTCTTAGCGACATTTAAGAACGGTGGAGCCTTTAGACTGGACTCTTTCTTAGTTGTAAACTCCACTGCTTCCAGAAATATACTATGTACTATTTTCTTTATTTCATCCCTTTAATAGGAAGAAACTGAGAGGACTAGTTTGTAGACTAATTAGATTTCACTCCACTTTCTCCATGGTGAGGACTGAACTTTTCTGTACCCGGCAGGAGCCACGACATTCTCTTCCATAGAGCTTCGATTCATCAAATATGTCTTTGTAATGTATACCAGCAATGTAGACTTACGACATCTTGTTTACACAGCCATTATTGAGGATATTGTCCGAAGATATTCTCATCCCCCTAATGTAACGAGTTGCTTTGCACATCTAAGTCTCAAAAACGTCCCCAACTTAACTTTAGTTAATTGTAAAAGTTCACCAGTTCGTCAAATGCTTAACCTCACTTGACTAATCTACTTCGTACAAAGTCTCATACCCTTTAGTATCAGTTGTCTTGGTATTAGTACTATTTTGTGTTTTTTTCGGAGAAAACTGTTTGACTTTGTTCGGCTCGTGTATGACTTTTAACATACGGTTTTTATGGATTATCTTAATAGATTATCATTGATGGTGGTTTTTTCTGTTTCTCACCTTGAAGACTTCATCTCTTACTTCAATTTCTGACGGGATACCTGTCAACCACAAATAATCTGGTTTCCTGCAATGGATAATGGAGTGTTTTGTAGGTTAATACTGTCTTTTTATATATATCATGAACTCAAGATGATCCAAAACAAAATATAGAACGTATTTTCGAAGTGGAAAGGCTCTTTGGATTCCCGTCTAATGTATGTTTGGTTTAAATATATAAGCTCATTTGTAGAAACTAGTAACTTCAACTCGCGTGTTAGTTGGGGAAGGCGTTTTGACAAAGATATGTAGAAGAAGGCCCAAACTGAGGCACTTTTTCCTATTTAGTGATGTGTTAATCTATGGAAGGATTGTATTAAATAGGAAAGTTGTGAGTTCGAAGTTTCATTTAATTCTGAATTCCATAGCTTTGTAACCCTCAGTTCATAGACCTAGCTGACTCCTGTGTTAAGAATGTTGTGGACAATGGGAGTAAGTGTAATCTATAGTCTAACTAATTTAGTCTATCGGAATGGATTTTCAATTCTCAGTCCAAGAAAGTCTTTCACGGTTTATGCAAGCACTTCTGAAGAGAAAACACAGTGGGTACTTCATCTGAAGAAATGTATTTCAAACTTTGCTTCTTCTGGTAGGTTCAATAACAACTAGAATACTCATTTTTTTACAACACATTATTTAGGTATTTGAGACAATTACATCCAGTTTATGACTTAATAATAAACCAGCGTATGTATAGAAAGTTTCAATAAGTGTTTATTTATGCAAATAGAATGTGTCGAAAGTGACAGATTAAATAAGACCTATTTATGAGATTCATGTAATTAACCACATAAAACTAGGTTTCTTCAATGACCAAACGATAAATCAGGTTGATCCCCATAATATACCTACTATCATTCAATGTTTTCCTAACTAAATCTACCTAAATGAATTTATTCGTTAGTATGTATGTATTTTTAGTAAACAATTGAATAAGCACGATCTTATTCGCTTCTTTTAACGTCACTTTGCAAACCGTCATTCATGAAGAGTTTGTGTTGCTTGGCCTCACTTTGAGCCTTTATAATATTTTTTATTTCATTCATGTGAGATTTAATCTCACTAGTTCATGTCATAGTAGCATTCGTGATGTAGCCTTAACAATCAAGTTCAATAGTATTTCCGGATGATTCTCTTCTTTAGTCTTGTATCATTAGTTGTAAACCCGCATTCCTCAAGTTATGGAACTTAAAGTTCTTCACTTTATCGATATGTATTTTCTAAAATCTTTCATAGGTGAATTACATTCGTTGCATTTTTTACTAGTAAGAATGCTTTAAGGACTCTTCCACTTATCAACATTAACTCCATTGTGTTATGAAAATTCTTAACGCTTACTTAAATATCCTACTGTGAGTTGCAAATATTAGTTTCGGTTAGTCTTACATGTAAATGATCATTTGGTTAATATTGCCAAATAGAGTATAAGCAGCGGTTTAGTCGAGGTGAGGAAATGTCGCTCTCGTTTAAAATCGGAAGTGAGCCTAACGCATCTGGAGCAACTTTGATGTTCTGTATCATCAAAAACCTGTTAGTGGGATGGGGAACTGGGAACTAATGAAGACGTTCAGATATCTAGAACCCCAACCGCACTAACTGTTTGAATCATGATGCTTTGAGCCTTTTTAGTCATATCATACTGTACTAGGTTCTAAATCAAAAGCACATTTTAGCATCCTTACCAGTGGCTGGCATTTGACTCAGGTTGTGTTATTCCCCGATAAGTATAATGAATAGTAACTTTTGGGATCCATTTATGGACCAGTACTATGTGTATATTTTTACCATATAATTGTTAAATAACTAAACTATTCATATTCACGTCCCTCTTATTATAAGCCTTATTTTGACCTATGAACTATTACTATATGATTTACCATTCTTGAATTAGGCTCTGTCTATTAATCACTACCTCCCACATTCACAGTCACATTTGGCCAAATCTTATACAAGTGTTATTTCCTATTTTATGGTACGAATCGGTCTGTGTTGTTGGTAATATAAACCCAGTATGCTTGAAATAAGTGATTCATATCACAGAGGCTGAAATTGGTGTTCTGGACTTAACTGGCAGGGCTAGGTAGGAAACACGACTCTAGACTGTTCGTACGTATTTTGTGCGTCATTGGTCCGATCGATAATTCACTGCTCTCTGATTGGCGGTACCATTACGTTATACATTAGCAGGGCACACAGGCCACAAGTTATAACAGATTGTCAGAATTTCTGGTTTTAATTGCCCCTGTTAGAGGTTTCACATAATTTTTTTCACATTTGTGAATGGTCATTACTCAAATGCGCCTAGATTCTCATAATGCAGCGTTGACAGCTGAAACTGTGTTGTGTACATGGTGCAGTGCAATCGACATTTTGAGAAATGATTTTGAACCCATATGTTTATCCAACTTGAATGCATGATGATTGATAGGCCTAAGCAAAATAATGTTTTCTACCACAAAATTTTGGGGTTTGATGCCTTTGACTACTGTTAAGACTTATTGAGTATCTCAAATTAATTAAGTACCTCGTTTGATTTATCCTGACGAACATCCTTATTGAAATTTTCCCCCAGCTTCTTTATCTTTTATTTTTTTAAACTAGTCGAAACCTTGGATGTTGTCTTATTTATTATTTATTTATTTTAACACAGATATTGATACAAGAAGGCACCAAGTACATATGCGCCACACAAATCTCAATTGATGTGTGAGGGCTATGATACTGCCCGGATGCCCAGATCGAAGCAGGTGGTTTTCTTACGGAGCCGCACCCCGAGCCTTCTACCTGAACATCTGACCCACAAGGCAGTGGAGCATCGTAAGGAGATGCAGTTCAATGGTAGTCGGTGACCAACGATTGGTTCATACGCCATTTGTTCCTTCAGGATACTGGAGCCAGCCCATGTGCACCATTGGTTTGGGATCCGGTTAAAGCGCCGGACATTCGCTTTTCGTCCTCTCATTTTCGTAAACAACAGTAATGCCACGAGAAGGCAGTGAGTAGGACTTCCCTGGCAGAGGCTATATACGCGCGGCCATGTGAGAGCATTTCGAGAGGGAGAGCGGACTCTCCCCACTCTCGGCCGTACCAGGGCATTTGGGAAAATTAAAGACGACTAAACAAAGAGGTGTTATCTGTTCATATAGACACTGACTGTTAGGCCTAGCCATGCAAGTAGGTGCAGACCACCTGAATGGGGTTTACGTGATTACCTTAACCTACGGTTGGAGACTTTGGGTGATATGGCTCGAAATCGTTCGCAGTGGTATAGGTCCATTCACTATTTTTAAATTACCTTACAAATTTATTTTGTTGGATACATCCATATTTCCTTCCCGAATGTTATTTCCAGTGCCCATTTCCTTCGATTACCGCTAATACTAATACTATTTATTCTGTCAATTTTATCTCGCTGTACTAATGAGGTATGACAACTTGAACTGATGTACACATATACCAGATTCTCCGTTACGTCTGACTGACTAGCTGAGTGCATATTCCATTGTTTATATTCTCCAAAGTCTTATGTCAGAGTTAATAAGTCATTACGTAGCATATATTACTTGCCAAAGATGGGTCTATTACAATTTAGTGACTGGATCTCTTAAAGAAACGAAACCAGCTAGGGAATTTAAGTAAAACTAGTTCACAAGTTCTAGTACAGCTAAATATGCTTCTTTTCAGTCATATCTTATTAAACAATGAAGAAATGGAGTTGAATACGTCAGTCAGTGGTCTTGAGTGCTGTTAGAGGTATGAGGGCGGTTATCACTTCCCGGTTGCCCACACCGTGGAAGGATTCTTCTGGAGGTACCTGAAAAGGAAATTGGATTAGAGTTGGTCATAGTGACCTGAGAGCGTGACCGCAATGCCCAAGGGACAGCTGCTTGAGGTCGGTCACACACGACCTTTTTATGAGTGATTTTTGTGTTAGCTCCGTACTTGTTGAGTCCTTACCGCCGGAGACGGATATCCGTGGGATAAGGCGAGGTGTGCATTTTTAGGGTCGACCTTTTCTAACCCCACCCCTCCTTGTGGGAAGGCAGCATCGCTGTTATGCTGGTTGTCTGAAGGAAACACCTTACTGCTGTCACACCTCTGTACAGTCAGCAGTACGACTTCGCCTTCGGACCTTGGTTTTGTTGCTTTTAGTCTTACCGCTCTTCAACCGACCTGTCTGGCATGGTAGGACCTTGAGGAACGGTTGTTCCAGCCAGTATAGCTCAGTTGTTTCATCACGATAGGCAAGCCCGACCACCACGTTAAGGTAGCAACAACGGTCAGGGAGTTGAATAAATACAATTTCGAGTTGAATACGAAATTGTATTTATTTGTTGCATTTCTGATGAGTTATTACACAACGACAGTAAATTTGAGTTTGATTAATTAATTTTTTTATCCGTTCTATTTAATGAATTCATTTATAAATTTCTAACCTTAACAAAGGTATGCAATATGATTCAGTTAAAAAATCTCCAATATGGATTCCGGATTCAGAAGCATCTCATTGTATGGTATGTGGTACTACTGAATTCAATCTTGTTCATCGAAGAGTAAGTTGTTTAAAATGTTTTAAACTTTAATTATTTCCGGTTACTTTGATGCATTGTTTTAGTGTTTAATACACGAAGCGGTAAACTTGCATCCAATTCGCTAAAAGTATAGTCTTCTTCCCACATAGCTCATAGACTTGCCACAACGTGATTGTCAATTTGAGTGCAAAATAAAAAGAATTGAAGTAAATAAGAAAAAAGCGTAGAAAGTCCACAGGCGATTTCGTACTCTCAAAGAATTAACTCGTAAAATTTTAAAGTACTGTCAAACTTTAAATCACGTAGACAATTGTTTAATCAACAGCAGTTTGTCTTAAAATCTGACATTTCCCCGTTTTTCATGATCACCTCATTCCGTTATCAATACTAAAGTTCTAAAAATGTGTTTATGTATAAAATCCAAACTATAGTACCCAGAAGTTTTCTTATCAGTGTCGCTATCACAACTAAGTTTAAGCATGGAATATTTAATTAATCTTCTACTGATAAAAATTCTGCATCTAACAACATGTCTTCCTCATGAATAAGCTACACTTGACTCGTAAAACAGTCGATTAGTGGTTGAAATACTCGTTTTTGAACTGGCAAGCTCCAGATTCAAACCTCATTTCATCTCCTTCGATCTGGAAACTGGATAGTACATCACAAAGCCCTATACAAAAAATGTAACTTAAAACGCAGTATATAAACATGTAATTCATGTTATTCCACGCCTCGTAAACATTTGTTTCAATGGTTATACCTTATAGCTAAATGATAAAATACTTCAAATATGGTTAACATTGTAAAGAAATGGAGGGAAAAATAGTATGGTTGGGTAAAGCTGAGGTTTGTATGTTTGTGATTTGTTTAGTTTATTTATAAATAAGTAGTCAATTCAACTTTTGATAGTCTTGTATTATTCCGTTGTGTTATGACGTGCGATGTCTGAAACTGATACTGATACACAAAAGTTCCTATATGCAAGCCCCCAACCTTATATTAATCAAAGAGACTAAGAGAGAATAAAGAATTTTATTGAGCTAAACCGAATCAAATGCAAGAGCATTGACATATATACTTATGTTGATCTAAGAAATAAAATTATTTCTTGGTCAATAACATGTACTTGTCATCCGGAAATTTTTAATTGAAACATGGTTTTCTCATTTATGTACTTTTGATTGGCCCACTGTATCATGTTAATATTTTTGGTTGAAATATATCAACAACGAGACAATCCAGAAAGAAGCATTACAAATTAAATTGAAATTTAGTTCTGTTTTTTGTCGAATGAATGGATAACGTGTTTGGCTTTTGAAACAAAAGACACTGGGATTGAATCCCGAAGTGAACAGCTCTCAGATGTGCATACATCCAGCTGGCTAGTTCCAAGTAGGACGAAATACATATTCTAAATTCCACTGCCTACCACCTTTCATTTATTTTGTAAGAAGTGAATGGTTAACAGAAATGTCTGTATTATTGGAGGTGGATTGGTATTGTAAGAAGATACTTTCTTAAACCTTGTCTTACCAGCTGTCATGCATTCCGTAATTATTTTCAAAATTTATTAATTAGATGTTCCAAGATTGAGCTTTTAACGGATTTCTGTAATCATTTAGAAATGCAGGCAAAGTAATGTCGGATACACAGTTTGATAGAGTTCGCTTTGTGCGGCCAATGTAATCTGTTCCACATGAGCAAGTAAACTGATAAGCTCCTTCTTTAAGCTAAATCAATATGTGTCTATCAGTTTACTTGCTCATATGGAGCAGGTTATATCAATTTTACAAAGCAAGCTCTTTTGAAACGCATCTTCGAACATTACCTTGCCTGGATTTCGAAAGGATTACAGAAGTCAGTCGAAAGCTCAATCATGGAACATTTAGTTAATTCTGGTCACTCCGCTTCACCAGAAGCCTCCCTCGAAATCATATTTACAGTTAAAAGAGTCAGCTCGAGAGGAATGGAAAAATAATTTAATGTTGATAAGTAATAAACTAATCCATTTTAAATTTTATTAAACATAAGAAGTAACAAACGATCAACTAAAACTAGATTTCTATACTTTCATATTTAATTTAATGATGTTATGGAATGTTTGGATCGGAAGTGTATACTATGCCACATACAATTATGACACCATAATAAATTAATTTATACTTTTCTAAATACTAATATAGTTCAACATAAACTATTAGTCTAAAATAACTATGTATTTATTTAGTTGTATCGTTTTCTTGAATTTATCATCATATCAGACAGCCTATTAAATATTACTTACTTACTTACTTACGCCTGTTACCCCCGATGAAGCATAGGCCGCCGACCATCATTCTCCAACCCACTCTGTCCTGGACTTTCTTTTCTAGTTCTATCCAATTCTAAATATAGTAATTCTTTATTATTAATCAAATTTTAGTGTTTATTTTGTATAAATTGTTATTGTGTTAATATTGTTTTCGGGTCAGTTAACATGTTCAGATGTGACTTAATTTAAAATATACTTGGTCAGAATATATTCCGTAAACTGTTAAAAAAAATATCATCATATATGTTTTAGTAAAGGAAGACTAAGAATTGTGACAGTTATTATGTAATCTTATTTATTTCGTGAATTTACTTCAATTTCTCATAAACTGGAAATTATTACTACATTAATTATAAAAAAGAAAAAGAAGAACGGCGAAACAAAGTCAAGTTTTCCCGATTACATGAATGGGGTGCACACACCCTGTACTAGATGCCCAATCAAGCATCCTATCACACACATCGAGCCAGTTCAGATCAAGAACACTTTGTGAGACTAACACGTACATTCTACGGTAGCAAAATAAAGTGATAGAATCAGATATCTGTCTGACTATCTTTTGTCTGTCTAGAAATATCGATCAATCACCATGTGCTTTCGTCTACACAACACAAGTGGGGAATACTTTACATCACACAATTATTGATTAAATTGTTCAAGTTAATATGAATGTAGGTTTTTAAAACAGTTAACGTTGAAGAATCAAAAGAATCGTTCACACAGTTGTTTATACGAATATTCTAGAAGAGATGATTGGAGAAATCATAGAAATAATTTATAAATGAAAAAGTACTGTCAAAGTTATGCAAAAGTTCAAAAGATTGGCTTTTTTATGAATATTGAATAACATTTATTACCTACATGAAGAATTGCTTACTTATCAAATGTATTTTCATACTTGTATATAATGAAAAGTAAGATCTAAATCCCTAGAAACGTGTTAGTTTCTATACGATGTGTGACGAATTTAATTGGTTTTATTGGTTAGAAAGGTGGTACAATATAGTGTGGAATCAAGCTGACCATAATCAAAAACTCAACTTTCGGGTTTTGACTCAAAATTCAAATACCACGTATAACAAACATTATAAATACCTTTGTATACCACTTAAAGCCTTTAAATTGATTTTTTAAAAATTACTTTCCGCTACTACATAATAAAATAATGGTGTTAAGTGTTTCATATACTTAATATCTTTCCTCATAGGTTGTAAATAACAGGCGATTAGACACTTCTTAAATTCCAACCCTAAAACTTTAATCCTGAAACAAACCTTAACCTAGTGACACTAGATCAAAAAAACCTGTTGTATTGTACGAAATTCATCCATCTGCTTGGCTATAGATAATGTTATCGTTATTGGCTGATATCAATTTGTGATAAAAGATGCAACTCTAAACCCCGTATCCTTACCATAAATATCTAACCTCTATTAGAAACAAATTGGGATCTCTAAAAATCTGTGTGGGTCCTTAGAGCTGTCCAAAGGGCAGGTAATCTACGTCTATAATGACGGATTTATTTGTCATTGTTCCTTCAATTTACAGAGAGTTACCTGTAGAAGATATGAATAGACTCACTAAATATGTAAAATCTGTACACGCTTTGTAATATTATTGGTGTCTTTCACATAAACCATGCACTTACAAAGCGTTTTTTAATTGATAAAGAACTAGCCGAAAATTCATCGCAGTTGTTTTAAATTCGTCCCTGTACTGTACGGTAGCCAGAAAGGCTTTATTTTATTAACTAATTGTCATATTAGTACCAATGAACCACGGGTTTAATGATTAAAGCACCGATATTTGAATCCTTTAATCTCAAGTTTGTTTCCCGGCACACTCACTTTGATTTGAGACACTTGGTAGTAGTAACTTACCCGAAACTTAGGTTCAAGGTTTCCTGTCTATCACTTACATCTCAACCCAATGTGCGTGATGTCAAGTCCCTTAGACTAGTAGCAAGAATGCAACTTGGTCGATTGAGTTCTATCAACATTAAACAAACCTAACAAATATGACGCTGTTCATAACTCAGTTATCGGTTATTCGTATGTATCACTAGTTCTAACAAGCTATGTGGCTGAAAACTAAGTAAATAAACCTGTTCTTGGCAAATAAGTTACATTACGCAAATAGTATTAGTAGCTCTCGCTTTAAAAAATTCAAGGTTCAAATGTAGAGCTGAAAAAACTGTACATATGGATTACTCAGTTGCATATATTATTATTATCATCGGTTTTTCCTTCATATCCGTTGTTTCCTGTTAATTTTAGCATCATTGTCGACATTGTGGCAAAGTTGTTTGTGATAAATGTTCCACTTATCGTTGGATACTTCCCTATCAAGGTTCATCATATGTACGTGTTTGTTCAGTATGTCATACTGATTTGTCGACAGAAAAATACAACTCACTCATTCGTAATAATCAACAATATCAGTGTGAAGAAGCGAATAGTCTATTCAATGTTACTACTTGTGTAACTAACAATAAAGTTGATGTTACTAATGAAACGACTGACAATTGTATAATTACACCAAGTAATTTGTTTCAATAATAATGAGTGAATTTTTCTATTTACATACTTATGTATGTATTTACTGTATTCATTTGTGCACTAATCAATGAAACTCTAAGTGTCTGCTTATGTGTTAGGTTATGTTAATCAATGTTCCTAAAAAAGTTACCAAGATGCTGAACGCTACCCAAGCTACTTTTATTTAATTAATACTTTTCAGAATCCACCCCTGTGTAATTTTGTGTATACAAGCATGTTATTTAATTTGATAAACTGGGTCAATCAGACATAGGTCAGACAGGAATTAAGAGATGCTAGTGGGTGCATGCTATTGGTCGAACATATAGCTTCACTCTCTGAGGGACGTGCGTCTATGCTTATGGATGATCTGTACATCTATTCTCGATTCGGTTAGCTAATAATGGCTTCCCGTTCACATTTGACTTCCCCACTCAGGTCGCAGGTTTGGGCACGTATATAGGAAGTTCGTATATTAGTATTAGACTCGGATGACCGCACAGTATAATATAATGACATAAAAAAAACATTCTACTGCATAGCTGTCTTGTCTTCTGACGCCATATGAATTAAGGGTCAACATCACTAGGCCTCTTCGCATCTAGTCAATTAGCACCTCTTTGCTCAATTTTAATAATCGAAAATTCATCCATCAAATTATAAAAATCCTACCCCATAATGTAGTAAAATTCAAAATCCTATATATTTATGTTTCGTCCTAGTCTTACTATTAATATTAATACTTTCCTGAAATCTTATAGAACTGCAAATTTTCTGGTAAGTGTTTTATAATTTATGTAACTAAACTAATCCTAGAAGTAAACTTTTGTGGTTGCATCTCTAAAGTATATTACGCGTAGCTGATTACAGACTGGAAAGAAATTCTACATTTATTCGCTTCCAGTAGGATAGTCCTGTTATACGATAACAACGCTTCAACAGTAATTGTTCCAAGAAGAGGAAAAACAGCCCTTGACAAGACAGCTTTTGCTATTCCCTGGGAAATGTTAAAATTCCAATACAACTAGTCTGTTCATATTACTAACCGTGATAGACTTGGGAATAAAAGAGAAAATAACTAGTCAGATGATGTAATTCATTTTCGTATTGGTTGATTAAACGTTTCCATTGATGTTTAGGACTGCAATTAATAAGTCTCTTATGGGCACATGTGCATCTTGTGTGGATTGTCACGATATTACCTTAAATCACAAGCATTAGGAGCAGAGATAGATGGTAACTAGCAGTGAAACTTTGTAACGAAAATCAACTCTAGGATGCAGTTACATCCGGTTGACATGTCTCAAGTAGGACGAAACGCGCATCCTGGATCCCATTACTAGCCACCATTCATCTCTGTTTAGTCAGATGATTAATCTTAACGTAATGAACACAAGATTTTTATTGGCTTTAACTTAAATCACTAACCTGTGTATTTAAAAATAGTCAGTAATTGATTGTCACCTGCCTTGGTAACAAAAGCGAACCAATCATTTTTGACTTGTTTTCCCTTCAATTAATTGTAATTACAATCTAATAAGTCTAACTTACATGTCTTTCTTTTTATTTTTCCTATATTTCTATCACATTACTTAATGAGAAAGGTTACCTTAGGTAATTCTAGAACTACCACTCTAAATAATTTAGTAGGAAGTGACTAAACGGTAAATCTAAAATATAAAGCCGAATCAATGAAGGATGAGAAAATCTCTTCAGGATCACAGCACATATATCAATCAATCATAATTTTTATCGAACCTTAGGGAAGCATGATATTGACCATCGATTACATTATGAATTAAAATACTTTAAATTGTTATGGGAAACAACCACGTATGATTATAGAGACGAGATGATGGTGTACCTGTAAAAACTCATGATATATATTGGTATTTCGTTGCAATGGATATTGTGTAAGAAAGCTAATAAGAAAAGGATTTTCTCCACCTATTATAAACTGACAATAAAATAAATTATTCTGTGTTAGTGATTTATTGTGTCTCAGGAACCTAATGTCTTGCACGAGCTATGACATGTTTCAGAAGGACCTGGTGTACATTAGCACAAATACATTAAGAATGTGTTTTTGAACCATTGATGTAAATGGAGATGACTTTCAGCGGATTTGGTAGGTTACTAGAGATCTATCTATGGAGCAGTATTACTCAAGCATATATGCATTAGATGGAGGGAAGTAAAAGTGGACTGGCTAAGTAGTAAACTTATCTAAATGTAGTAGGCTTTTGGCATGTGGGATAGAGTTAAAAGAAGGATATTTAGGAAAATGCCGAATAAGCTAGCATAAATGCTCGTCCCTTATGACACCACTATCTACACTGACGACTGGAGAAAGCTCAAATATCTTAGATGGTTTAGGTATTCTCATAAACCATTATAATACACAAGCTTCACTATGTTGACCCGACAACCGGAGTTCACACAAACAACTCGGAAACAGTGCAGAGCCGGCTAAGATATCATTAACACCTTTATAAAAAGTCACAAGGAAAACGTTTAGCGAGTTACATGGATAAATCTCTTTACAGAATGCTTTTAGCTGGAAGTCATAATAGTCCATAAACAACTTGAAACAGTTCACTAGTAATATAGAAGCATGTTTTTTGCAAAATATTTCATTTCCTTTTATAAGATGGTGGAGAAGATCTGTAGCTCAAGTGAATGATTTTGATCGAGTTTTGTTCTCTGAGCTGGATGGTTTGGTCGTGGAGCTTTCATCGTTCTTCTGAAGAACATCATCAACACAAACTTCTAACTGAAGTTTTTCTTTTGTACATAATTTATTAAAATTTGCCGTTAACATCTCAACATTTTTCACCTGTATGCTTTGTGCTTACCGATTAGACTTATTACCTTATCTGCAGCTGGGGAGAATGCAACAAACCAACACTGAATTCATTATATTCTGCAAACAATACCGTTCTTGTTTCCTTTATGTTTCATAAAAGAAAACCAATTGCATGAAGTTTTTCTCCTTAATTTTTATTCTTGATCAATTGTTTTCTTTATCTGTCTACTGCAATTTCAGCCTATCTTGGTGATGTAAATATGAATAATGATGAATTAAATACTGAAAGTGATACAGATTCAGATACCGCTGAGGTAAGCTCCAATTATTCATTTCATCAAAATGTGAACATTATCTATCTATAAACAAAAAAATTAATGTAACACAGTAATCAAAAAACCGGATCATATGCTTGACTGTAAACCACACTAATTGGTACTATTATGACTTCGAAAAACCGAACTTTATGAATTGATCTTTGCTGTTGCAAAAGTAAGTTTAAAGAGAGGACTAGTGACGTCCAAAACCAAGACTTAAAATCAATTCAATAAATTCAGCGTACGTTTATCTAAGTCGTGCTAATTGGTACAGATCAGTTGATTGAGGTCCACGTAATTACCGTGACCAGTGGTTGGACATGTTAGGTGATATGGCTTCAAAATTACTCACAGATACATCCCTGATTTCAATGTTATTTCATATCTTATTCCACCAATTCATTCTTTCCTGTTTCACCATATTTTATATCTTGAATCTTTTTTTTATTATCACTGATACTTCTACTACATTGGTATTCATCTTAATATTGGTCGGCCTTAGTTCTGTATTAAGTCATATTCACACAGTCCTACAGAAGGTATCTATATCGTTCTTCTTAGTGAAATGTATTTTAGTCTTATTTTGTGACAAATCTGTGCTCGAAAAATGTTGCATTGCAGAAAATTACCATATAGACGCACTTGGTACGAAACGGGTTGATATACATTCGAGTTATTAAACTTATTAACTAATGCATTGTTATAATTGATTCATCTGTACCTTTTTGAAATGTGTTAGAGCTTAAAGCTGAGTTTCATATGATACAGTCGATGCTTTGCCAAAAAAATGCTCAGATGGAGGTAATCAATACTAAATCAATCTGAATTCAGACTGGGTCAGGTAGTGTAGACATGCGGTTTTCATCAAGATAAACTTAGATGAACTCAGGTAACGATTGCCGACAGGCTGATGTCTAAATTGTAATTTTTATATTTTTCCTGACCGTCTGTAACTGCTAATAATGTATGTTTGTTCAGGCCTATCTCGAATTCTGTATCTAAGTTGGTTTAACGTGGAGAAAATTATTCATTTGGTTGGGTATTTAGTGCTATTGCGCTACAATCGTATATGTTTTAGAATAGTTCTCTGTTGTTCGTCCTGAGAAAACAAGCGTCACACCAGTGTTGTCGTAAAGTTCTAACTTCACACCATACAGAAATATATTATAATTCTTTGTTTAACAAAATGTATTTTTCACGTGTTTTTGTTGGTTGATTTTCAATACACTTTCACAAAATTAACTTATCCTGTAATTTAAGAAGAAAGTATTCTTTTTCTTGAAGCTGTTTTTATCATTTAACATGAATGTCCAGAGAACAGTAGTTCAATTTCAGACCATCCATCTGACATTGATCTATATACCCTGTAGTCAATTAATCAGTCATAAGCTACATAGGACCTGTCACATGTGTACATCTGGCCAACTTGCGATATCATACCAACATAATCAGCGAAGATAAATACCGATGTAGTAGGAGAAGTTGTAGTATCAGTTTTAGTTCAAAATGATTGATGATATAGTATTGTGGTTCAATAAGAGAGAATAAACTCATCCAGTAAAATTCATAAAGTAATTTGACTTCAGAATGTAAAGGTGAGCAAACGTGAATGAATCTGTCCTATTATGACTGATTTTGGTGTCGTATTATGCAATATCTCAATCACTGCCCAAGATAATCGCCAGGTTTCGAACGAAGTATTCTTTGTTTACAATATGGACTGATGTCACGTTTTTGTATAGCCTGTATCTAGTATATGAAAAATTTTCCCTTAGAGTTATCAAAACATGATTTACCTGTCACTGTCTTAAAAACTCTACCGCTTACCTTCAACATTTCATGTTTGTTATTAGCGTTGCTGGCATGGTATTGTCAGATTATCTGAGTTGGTTTTACGATTGTTTCCTCAATAATCTAATTGTTTTAAAATGTAAGCAACCGATTAGGCTAATTTACTGAGTGCCTTATGATTGTTTACTTCTGTATATTGACCTAAACTGGTATCAACTCCAGGCTTATATTGTACTTGCACACCGAATCAAACTGATTGGTAACTCCATATAATACCCATTTATATTTTTGTCTTTATGAGCGTAAGCATAAAATCTTGACTATTTTTTAATAGTATTTCGACCTTCCCAGATTTTCATCACCTTCTATCAATTGAAATCATGACATAAAGTCATAATCAAGTAACAAAACTTTTCTTTATTATTTATTCATAAATTACCTTGATACTTATGTTAACTAATCATAGCTAATTCAATGAGATTATAATTTATGGACGACCGTTGAGCGACACTAAAATAACTTTAAGAGTATCTACCTAATAACTAGGACCAAATAAGGGTTATAAACCAGTATGAGGAATTAGAATTATGATTTGTAGTTAATGGTTAAGGTTCGAAATAACATTTAGGGTTTTCATTACAAACTGACATCAATTATAATGTCAAAACTCTATTTAACTAAATGAATTGAGTGAATTTCATTATTTGATTGATTATTTACAGAACTAGTTTATTTATTTTCATTATGAAGTAGAATATATTTTTGTATTTGTTTTTAGGAGAACAAAGATGACAAATTTATTCATAGTTAACTTGATTATATAAACGACATTATATTATTTATATATTAAAATAATGTGGAACAAACAAACAACAAGAACAAGAATAACAAAATGGAAATATATTTACCTAATTCAAAAATATGGAACCTTAATCAAGTTTTGTTTTTATCTGCTTTTAATTCTATAGATTATCAAACTATGAAGTTTGATCATGTATGTATGTATGTATGTGTGAGTGAGTGAGGAGGTGGTGTATTAAACTCATTGTTTTTTTTAACTTCAGTTTTATTCATAGAAAACTTCCCCACTGATCAATAATTGTTTTTTTTTCATGTATTATTTTAATAATTATTACACTTATCTATTTGTAATTTGTATATTTATTATTCTTTTATTGTTCTGTCATTTAAATGTATATTGACGTTTTTTTGTGTATTTATTTTATTAGTAATTGATCTCGAGGGAAATGATTTTCTAATAATATAAGATTATGCAAGTCGGATACAGCTTTTATTGATTATTGTTTTTTTTTTTTGGTATTTGGCTCGAAATTTGATTAATCAAGAGAAGGGATGGTTATAAATACTTTTCATGCAATTGATATTTTTGTATTGTTTTTTTTTGTGTTGGCAAATTATGCTAGTACAAAGAAGAATGTAATGTAATACTTTTACGTTGCTCACAATTACACACTGGAGAATATCAATAATTTTCTGAAAAACAAACAAACGAATGGTTAAGTATCATTTATGTAATATTTGAAAGGTAATGATGTAATTTACTATTTAAGACTGGATATAAATAAATAGTAACATATCGCAATGTGACCCTGTAATAGGGATTTTTGAGTTTATTAGAAGAGGATCTTCGGTGAAAACGATTAACTTTTAGATTTTTACTACTAGAAATGAAGAATGTGGATAAATTATGAAAAGCAAAGGTATAAAGGTTGATGTAGCATCAGGTAAGCTTTTTCAAAGTGAATGACAAGTTCTTTAGCCAACCTTGTATCGAAATTTATCTGCCTTTTACTCAGCTTGAGCATACCTACGATTTCTGAAGCATTCTTGTAATCGTTTTTAAATCTTCGTCAATCCTATTCCTAGCTCTCAACTGAACTATTGTAATCTCAATTAGATTGGTTCACTCTAATGGGGCTACTGTTAGGAAGAACCAAGAATCAGCTTTAATCACAGGATTCCTGTGCAACTATAAATTAACTAAAAATGTTAGAAGTATATTGAGTGTCTGGTTTGTGGAGTGATTATGCTGTGGATATAGGTTTATGATATCAACTAGGTATATCCTTCGGTCATGCTAGCTTTCCGGGATACGATGTATTTATTGTTACCTAGTTATATATTTTCGTCATTGTTCAGCAAGCACTTCTCAGCTTACGGAAATATCAATAGTCATGATATAGTTTCATATCCAAAATAGCTGGTAATTTTGTTGACGTTCAAGATAACACTTCTATAAAGTTTTCTGCTTCAGTATCTGACTCCGATAAATATTCCGTGAACGTAAATCTCCCGTATATTTCATCTAGGCTAACTTTTAGTTCAACGGCTGTAATATGAAGACAAATGCGGGTCGAATTAGATGAGTTTATTTCAGGCATTTGTTTACTCAGACAGACATTAAAATAAACGAAGGCAATCATGCCAACTCGCTATACTACGTGTTAAAAGCGTTAATATAGCTCAAAACAGATAACGTGTGGTGTAGCAAAGAAACAGGCATGGATAGATAATGAGTGATAGACAAGTACACATAATGAGAATAAGCGCAGAATTACACGGGCATAAGGATAAGGTGTATGTGTGTGCTGAACGTCACAATTCCCGTTAAAAAACAATTATTATGAAGGTGAGAATAACTCAGTGTCACGTGCTGTCCGAGTTATTAAAGTCTGTTCAAAAGTTAAGACAAATCATGTAAGCTTATAATCGTACTAGACACTACAAAGGTCAATTTTTAATGTAATCTATTTCATGCTAATTTTCATAAATTTCAGTACTGTTAATATGATATTGAAGTAACGTCCATGTGGAGAAGCTTCAGTATAGATGGATATGATTTTTCTTGCAGATTTATGAACAGTCTCTAGCGGTACCGTAGTGCTAACATCATACCCTCAGTTGTACTTATTCTAAAGTAAAACAGTGTGGTTACGTTGACCACTTCAAAAGAAAATTTTGAAACACTGAGAAGTCAATTTAAAGATTAATCAACATGGAACTTGTGTCTTTTACGTTGTTCATGAGGCTTTGAATCCTACTTTAAATACCGGGAGTTTGGTTTGATTATTAAAAGTCTGAAAGCAGTTTGTCAAAGCTTTCGGACAATGATATCCCACTGAAAAATATAATTTTTTTGTTAAAAGTGAAAACACTTAACTATGCTGTAAAAGCTTGATATGGGAAAACATTACGGAGAGATACTACAAACCGAATGTGAAAGTTTGTTGAGTTCGTTAACTGTAACTAATAGAATGAATTAGGACTAGAATATCAATATTTCTGGGTGCATATTTGCAAAATTGAATTCAGTGATCAGTACAGTAATAACAGAAGCAATCGAAATTTAATGAAAATCAATGGGTACATCTAGATTGAATTACTATTGTATTAGATGATTACCAAAATTAGAGCTCGAACTGTTCGTTCTACAATTATAGAGAATTTGTTCATCTAATGGTAATATTAGAAATTATTCCCTACAGCATGTTTGATCTATAATTTACAACATTGATTCGCATAAAAGATGCTTTCCAATAGGGTTGTTAAATAGATGAAAACAGTAAAAATAAAAAGCAGTACATTCGTTTTGACCATAGGAAACGCTCAACAAAACAAAATTCGGTATTTTTATAGTAGAATTCTGGTCCTTACTTACGCCTGTTACTCCTCGTGAAGGAGCATAAGCCGCTCACCAGCATTCTCCATCCAACCCTGTCCTGGGCAATCCTTTCAAGCTCTTTCCAGTTCTTATTCATCTTTTTCATATCTGCTTCTATTTCCCGACGTAATGTGTTCTTTGGCCTTCCTCTTTTCCGCTTCCCTTCAGGATTCCAAGTTAGCGCTTGCCTCGTAATGCAGTTTGATGATTTCCTCAATGTATGTCCTATCCATTTCCATCGTCTTTTCCTAATTTCCTCTTCCGCTGGAAGCTGGTTGGTTCTCTCCCACAAAAGGCTGTTGCTGATGGTATCCGGCCAATGGATGTTGAGTATCATGCGTAGACAGCTATTAATAAATACCTGGTCTCTAAGCATTAATGCAATACAACAATTGAGAGATGTTATAGTAGTTACAAAGTAGATGTAACGAGCGCTTGGCATGAACTGTGACCTAGAAGGATGTGCACTTAAGGTTTTTTTTACTGGCATAAGAAGCTGCATAGCTGTGCACTGAGAACCTGATACTGTAAAAGAGAAACAAATGAAAAACTATTACAGAATTCATACCAGTTAACAGGCATGATCAATTTGATATAAATAGTAAAATTAGATGTAGAGAATAAGCATATGATATAAGATAGTTTTAAGTATACTAGTTCATAGCACGGAACAATAATACAATAATTACCAAAATACGTCAATCAGGTCTGATATAATGCATGTGTCATGTGACACAATGATATACTGTTAATGTAAGATATTATTCAAATTAGTTAAGGTTGCTATGGTCAGTATTAACGTAAAGTGATAGTAGGTATGTGGTTTTACTTAAGGAATTTAATAATAATAATGGCTAAACATTTAAAGTTCCTATAATCTCAGTTGTGGAATAAGAAACAATTACAAGTGCAAAAATACTTAATGCATTTTCAGAGGAGCAGTATGCATCAATGCAGAGAACAAAGAATGGGTACTACTATTAGTAATATACTCACTGTATTATCTCTACATGTATGTGCGATTCGCTTGATATTAACTATTATGTTTGCAACAATATTTTACTTTGTTGCGCTTGTTCACATTTTACTAATCATATACATTATATATATTGGTAACTTGTAGTAAGTCCATTGAACTATTTTATTATTTGTGCACTTGTTGTAATTTAGACGTCTGACCCACTATGTAAAATTATGTGTGAGTCTGATTGAGCGCATGTCTGTACACTAATCTTTATCCCCCTCATTGGTTGTAAGCATAGACAATCAATAATTTATTCACAATCGATTAACACTCATAAATGTATATGGGTTTTTAACACACACTTTCATTCGTTTCCTTGTGTGCTTGGTTTCTGAGCGCTTGCAGATTTTTACTAATCACTAACACTAAACTAACTCTACAACTGGCGTTCCGGCTTTTGAATAATAACACTACTAAGGGATTTAGCTTGCGTAAATACTCAGTTAACGGGATACTATTTCTTGGAGCCAGCTTCCACAAAGTTGATCACGTCGGGTTCACGAACTTTGTAGAGGATAATTTCCTCTATATCTGTGCTAACAACCAATGAGGAAGATAAGGATTGGTGTACAGACATGCGCTCAATCAGACTCACATAATTTTACATAGTGGGTCAAATGTCTAAACTACAGCAAGTACACAAATAAATTAGTTCAATAGGCTAACTACCGACTATCAATTTAACTATCATTATTACTATCATTAGGCGTTGCATTATTGTTGTTACATCTTTTATACACACTTATTTACATCAAAAAACACAAAGTCCTTTTTAATAATAATAAAATGTGTTCCCAGGACGACTGGAGAAGATAACGAAAACGAAGACAAAAGGGCAGAAGTAAGGTATTGATATTTGTGTATATTTATTATTTAGCCAGAACTCTTTACTTACTTCCATACTTAATAATACTAATAATATTAATAATAATAAAGTCTTGCTAATTGAACTCTATATTCGGTTCCTAAGCTATTCTCGTAACCCGCAAGCTAGAACTACACAGCGACCTGAACACGAGAGAAAAGGCGCAAAACTATGCGAGAAGCACTTTGCCTAAAGGTTCGCTTTAGTACAGAAAATATAGTTTTTACGGTATTTTAGATG